TGACGCCTCTGCCTTTGTAAATGGAGGGACAGTAACTGCGTGTAAACCTGCAGACAGTCAGATTAACAGTATTTGTCTCTATCTGCTATTCTGCAATTCATCCCATGTAAACAATAACGTGGCCACAGCGTGGCGTGGAAAAAGGCTCATACCTCTGACGCTGCGTGATGAACTCTGTATTCCTCGTCCACACGGAAACGCAAAAAAGGAGTTTTAGAAAATCTCCGTTTTCGGTGATTGGAAACGCCGTTTACGTGGACGAAACAGCTGCGTGTTCAAAATCACCTGTACAGGTGCGGACGCAGCGTAAAAGAAAACTGTCAAGAAAGGTCAAAACAAACACTACTGTTATTATTATTATTACTGTTATTTCTATTATTTAAAATGTAATTAAACAGAAATGTTCGTTACATGTAAAAGCAGTTTGCTTATGTTGTAATACAGGATTTTTTAGTCCCTTCAGGCCTCTGGTTACTGGGCCATCAGGTGCAGTGTTGTTAGGAATGAAAGTACAACACACAGGCGCAGCAAGACCAGAGAAAAGACTGATGTGAGATACTCTGGATCAGATCCCAGTAACCATGTCTGAGATGAGCAGCCGGTCACAGGAGAGTGACATTAACTGTGAGGCTGCAAAATACCCTCGAGCGTGAGGAACAAGCCTGGATAGTTAAGTGAATATGTTACTGAGAGGGAGGATTGTGATCTAGTATTCACTAACATGCCCCAAACTCAGAGCAAAGGGTCAGTGCAATGGAAGAGGACAAAACAACACATTTACTTTAACCACTTTGCCTGAGGGTGAGAAGACAGTGGGGGGTAGATGGGTGCACGCAGTCATAAACACGGATCAGAAAAATACAAGGCACGATATGTTGCTAAAGGATAGAGTCAGACGATGGGCGTAGATTATGAAGAAACATTTTCCCCTGCTGCTAACCTGACTAGTATCAGGGCGTTGGTGCAAAAGGCAGCACAAGAAAACATCGTTTCACATGAGATGGATGTTAAAGCTGCCTATCTACACGCACCGATGGATTGTGAGGTATTCATGATACAATCAGAGGGTTATGACGTGAAATCTGACACAAATTAAAAATGGTGAAAACAATCAGGCAGAAATTGGAACATGAATATCTGAGTGAGAGAAACTTTGTGCAGAATCCTGCTGACCATTGTGTTTGCACAAAGGTGGCAGGAAATAAGAAGGTGAAGGTTTTCATAGTAAGGGTAGATGACCTGATCATTGCTGCCAGCGACAAAGTGAACCAACTGGTGTGAAGAAAATGCTGGCAGCGAAATTCAAAATGAAGGATTTGGGTAAACTGAGACATTTCATTGGAACAGATTTTGACCTGAGTGATAAATGTGTAAAAATGTCACAGAAACAATATGTGGAAGAAATACGTGAAAGGTTCAACATGCAGGACTGCAATGCTGGGCTGACACCTTGTGAGCAAAAACGGAAGTACACAGAGAGGCAGTGGGCCGTCTGATCTATGTGGCCACATGAGTTTTATAGTCAGTAAACTTTCACAGTACTCAACCAACTGAAGACCAATGGACTGCAGTAAAACATGAACTAAGATATTTGAAAGGGGCATCTGAGACAGACCTGTTACAGGAAATGTGATAACGAGGAACTCAGGTTGTGGGCTTACAGTGATGCTGATTGGGCAGCTGATGTCACAGACTGACGTACAACTAGTTATTGTATAAGTCTGGCTGTAAATGGTCATTGGTTACATGGAAAACCCAAAAACAACCTACTGTTGCATTATCTACCCGTGAAGCTGAGTACATGGCTTTAGCGGCAAACCTACAGGAGTGTAAAGAGGTATGGTTGGACAGAAACGTGCGCCGCCAAAGGTTTATGAACATAACCAGGGTGCCATGGCGTTGGCTGTAAACATGTTGACAGCATGACTTTGTGAGGTCAACTGTGAGTGAAGGAAAAATAACTCTGGATTATTGTCCATGGTGGCAAATGTAATGACAAAACCTACAACAAAAAGTTGTTTAATTTTGAAAAATGTGTGTTTGGACATTAACCCGGTACATGAACATGTACACAGTACTGGGTGAGATGCAGAGAGGTGTCTAAGAAACACCCAGTGCATCATGGGAATCCCCCGGCAGCCTGCACCTATTGCAGCATAACTAGGGGAGGATCCTGGGTCACCTGGTCCAGCCCTAACTATATGCTTTAGCAAAAAGGGAAGTTTGAAGCCTCATCTTGAAAGTAGAGATAGTGTCTGTCATAACTAGGCTGATATGGTGCTACAAGGTCATTAAGATAAGATGGGGCCTGATTATTTAAGACCTTGTATGTGAGGAGCAGGATTTTGAATTCTGGATTTAACAGGAAGCCAAAACAGAAGAAATTACTATTTATATTTTATTCCTCATTTGACAGAAATGAAGGTGAAAATCTTTTTCTTTTACTTTCACTGAGATCACTGGTGTGTGATGTGTCTGATGCTGAGACACCACAGAACTGTAAGAACAGGATTGTTAGGCTGCATCTCCTGACCCAACAGTAATTTTGAAATTAGCTAGTAACAGCTAGCTAATGTACTTCTGGAGACTAGAGTCTATCACACTTTGGTAATAAAGTAAATATAATATGTTCAACACTGAATTGATTGTATTCCTGATGGACTGAGCAGTAAATCTGCCACCGGTTAGTCCAAAAAAAGGTTTTTTATTTAACACAAAAAAACCCAAACTTTGGTTAAATTATACATGAATCTAAATCTCAGGTCCATAAAAGAGGTCAAGTAACAGAACTGGACTCAAAAGCTGGCAACAAACAATACTAACACAAACAAACTGACCTTCTGAAGGAGACTTAAATAATGTCTGATCAGCCTACAAAGACACAAAAAGAACACACAAAAACCTAACTGAAACTAACATAACAAATTCCATTTACCCCCCATGATCCAGAGTAGTAGTATGACCCAATTTGCAGGTCTCCATATAGGCTTGCTCCGCCCCCT